TTGAATTAAATTACTCCTTAACCACAGGGTAGCAAGCAAAATTTACATTTTTCCAGTATTACCGTATCAGGAATTTTTTCCCCTCTGTTCCTAACTGACCCTTTTACTATAGTAGTAACTTCTCTGCTTCCTTTTAGTCTGACGTGGCATCTTGCCGGGTATTTTTTCTTTCTGCCGATGACTAATTTGACGTTCTGCCGACTCATGTGAAACCTTTGACCTAGTTGGACTGTGTCTTAGTTGGTGTCACCAAGTTATTGTAGAACTTCCTCTTCCCTGCTTATCTTGTTTTTGTTTTTAGAGGTGCTATCTTTCTTCATCATTAAGTAGTCTATGTGTCGGTCCAAGTCTTGTCAATATCTATAATTAAGTATCAGTTGGATCCTGTTTACCAGATGATTGATCTTGGAGTAAATCCATATTGCATGATTTAAATGATTGTTCACCTTTGGATTTTTATACCATGCTTTAAATGCTAATATTAAATTTACCCTTATGGAAATAAGTCTACTTATTTGGGATGATTGCTAGCACGAAGCTTGAACTTAGAATGACTTGAAACAAACTAATTTTCAATCACGATGACTAGGCGATGTTTAAAGCATCTTTTTCACTTTAGAAGAAAATTATAGATTCATTTAATCGGGGGGGAAATCACTTCTTTTTCCTTGTACTGGCTTGATCCATATTGAAACTTGGTTTTGTTTTTGTTTTAATCTTACAAGGTCAGGGAGAACGTTTTTTATTTGTTTAATGTATCTTCTTGGGTCATTTTTTTTCCTTTTTGCAAACTGTTCGTGTTTGTTTTTGTTTTATGTTAATCTTACTTTTGCTTGAAAATGTATCAATGAGAACCATCTGTTAAAAACAAATTGTGATTTATGCAGTTGACTTGGTGCAGGGTGGTTATTTGATCTTCATTTGTTTGCTTGTTTCTCCATTAATAAGCATTATTTTAACCTAGCTGTAAACTCAAATAGCTGTCAATTTTTCTCCCCAGAATGTTTCTCCACAAACACTTCCATGTCAGGAAGCCTTTTTCTCACTCTTGTTAAACGAGAATGTGAAAATCAAGAACTTCTAGCCAATTGGATGCTTCAGACCTCCATATGTTCTTGTTTTGCTCTCTAGAACAGCGGTTGCCAACTGGTGGGCCGCAAGAAAATTTTGGTGGGCCGCAGAGAAATCTCAGCCCCAGAGCACCCCTACAATGCAATTAATCCAGGCTGCGCAGAAACATAAGGCTGCACCACCCACATGGCCCGCGGGAACCCTCCTGCCCATTCACTCCTTACCCGGTAAACCTGCCTGCTAAATTGCCATTTTTCCTTTTTCCGACCATCAGCTGTTCTGCTGTGCCGGGAGATTTAGATTAGCTAGGAAGCAGGAAATGGTTGGATTTCTTGCTTTCTAGCTAGTCTTTAGATCTTCGGCTCAGCACAGCCGAACCTCCCTTAGGACTGAAGGTTTGCTTGCAAGCAAATTCAGTGCAGACTCACGGCAAGCAAATTTGAGAGACTGAGATAGCCGATGGCAGATAGATAGATCTCTGAATGAATCTGTGATTCTGTGAGCAACTCAATCTGCCTGCCTGGTTTGCCTGATTTTGGATAAAAGTTGCTCTTTTTTATAAAAAAAAAATCAATATTTATATAAATATTTATAATATTTACATACAAGCCATGCCCAGCCAGTCACATAACCACCAAGCCACAGCAACAAATTAGGCCATGCCCACAGAACCGGTTAGTGGTCCCTGGGATCTAAAATTATGAGTTTGGTGGTCCCTGAGGTCCAAAAGGTTGACAACCCCTGCTCTAGAATATTGTAGAGGGGAGGATGCAGATCAATTGAACATTGAAACATACTGCTTTCTTAATTGGTAAAGGTTGTTTTTTTTTTACAAAGGATGTGTTGCAACTTTTGGATATTTTAGAATAATGTCACAGAGGTGATAAGGAGGCACATGCTATCCATAATTGTGAGCTGTATTATACTTCCCTTGATATTCACCAAGTTTCCTCACCCAACTGGAATTTTAAGAAGAATTTATTTTATTTCTTATCAACTCTTGCTCACTGCGTGGACATGTTCCTGCTACTGATATGGAAGTGGCTTGTTTCTTTCAGATTTTATTAACTCCCAGGCTGTCCCTAGGTCAGTGATGGTGAACCTTTTTGTTGTGGTGTGCCAAAAGCATGCACATGCCGGTACCCACAATGCAATGTGCCCCCCCCCGCACATGTGTTGCAATCCCCCCTTACCTGCACTGCACAAGTGCATGCCTCCCAGCTGATTTTTGGGCCGTTTGAGGCCATTTTCACCCTCCTGGGGGCTCAAGGGAAGCCTCTGCAGCCTTTGGAGGCCGAAAAACCAGCCCGTTTCAGCATTTCTGGGAGGGCGAAAAAGGCCTCAAATGGGCCAAAAATCAACTGGGAGGTGTGCGCATGTGCAGTGCCGGTAAGTTTAGCTGGGGCTCATGTGCCCATACCAATGGCTCTGCATGCCACCTGTGGCACATGTGCCATAATTTTGCCATCCCGGCCCTAGGTTAAAAATGTGGAGATTCTCAATCATCCAGGTCATGGTGCTTTTTCAAGAGGCAACTGGACTTTGTTTTTCCTTGAAGACATTTCACTTCTCATCCAAGAAGCTTCTTCAGTTTCTGAAGAAGGATTTTTACCTCATGTTTTACCCAAGGATTAAGGGCTTGTCCAGATTAAGGACAACCTTTAGATATGGGTGGACTCCCTATTATTGAAAGTGGTGGACAGGATTGTCCTTCCTCAAGCCCATGAACTACTGAAGCTCCACAATGCCTTCAGGAACCTCAGAAGATGAGCAATTTTAATATACAGGTGCTGAACAAAGTGATTTATGACCATTTTCAGACTTACAACCATTGTAGCATCCCCATGATCATGATCAAAATTCCATCCTTTGGCAAATGACTCATAACCTTGTCCATGTCCCGGGGGTCATGTGATCCCCTTTTGCAACCTTCTGAAAAGCAAAGTCAACGAGGAAGCTAGATTCACTTAACAACTGGGTTACTAGTTTAACAAATGCAGCGATTCACTTAATGGTGGCAAGAAAGGTCATAAAATGGAGCGAAATTAACAACTGTCTCACTTAGCAACAGGAATTTTGGGCTCTGCTGTGGTCATAAGTTGAGGATTATTTGTATCTTAACATTCAAGCCTAGTTACTAGATATGTACAGTACATCCAGAATTTTCTAAGTGGTTATCTATTCTTTCTTCAGTAATGTTGTTCCAGCTTCCCAGACTTGGTTCCACACAGCTTCTCTGGAATTTTCTATTGGAGTCTCCCATCCAAGTGCTGATTAGGTCTTTTACAGATTAACAGAGTTGGAAGGAACCTTGTAGGTCATCTAGTCCAACCTCTTGCCCAAGCAGGAGACCCTACACCATTTCTGACAGATGGGAGTCCAATCTCTTCTTGAAAGTCTCAAGTGATGGTGCTCCCACAACTTCCAAGGGCAACTTCTGTTCCATTGGTGGATTGCTCTCACTGTCAGAAAATTTCTCCTTATTTAAATCTCTCCTTGTTCAGTTTCCATCCATTATTTCTTGTCGGGCCTTCAGATACTTTGGAAAATAGCTTGACCCCCTCGTCTCTGTGGCAGCCCCTCAAATATTGGAAGACTACTATCCTGTCTCCCCTGGTCCTTTTCTTCACTAGATTAGCCATACCCAGTTCCTGTAACTGTTCTTCCTAATCTAGTATATGTCCAAGTCCACACAGGTCAATTAGATAGATGAGAGGTTACTATTATAGCGATTCTGTATAATAAGTTAGGCCATAAGAACATTTAAGTCAGTATTATCACCAACGATTTGAGCAAGGATTTGACCCAGTTCTCACAGAGTCTGTGACAGGTAGACCTTGCCTCCACAACAATAGAGGCCAAGATTTCTGTGTCCAAGCAAGGTGAATTAAGTGAATTCTGCTCTATTTTACAGCCATTCTTGCCATAGTTGTGAAGCGAATCACCACACTCATTAAGTTAATAACCCACGGTTGTTAAGTGAATCTGGCTTCTCCATTGACTTTGCTTGTTAGAAGGTTGCAAAAGGGGACCAGACCAACACTGCTGGAACACTGCAACTATCATAAATATGAGCCAGTTGCAAAGTGTCTGAATTTCGATCACATGATTGTGGGGATGCTGCAATGGTCATAAGTGTGAAAAACTGTCAGAAATCACTTTTTTTTAATGCTGGGCAAAACAGCATCTGAGCAGATGAACAACCATCAGAAATTTGAAGTAACTTTTCTATCTCCATTCCACCAAAGGCTGTTTTTCCTTACAACAAGAAACAAATCCAGAATACTGTTGCTATCTATCTAACCACATCAAGTTCTTCAGTTAGTGAAGCTGTCTCTTGATTGACTTTTCATTACTGCTAAATTCAAAGAATAGAATGAAAATAATCTTTTAACACCTCGGAAAGGGCAGATTAATGTCTTTGGAGCCATTAGTCTGATTGATGAGTCTCAAGATTCATCCTCCAGCTAGGAGAAATCGAGATCCAGTTGAACCTGTACTGAATCCGGTTTTTCTTGCTTCTCGTTCTGCTCTTTCTTCCTGTTCTGGTACATTTGGTAAGATGGAAACCCGTTTCTTCTGTGGTTCTTACTGGTTTTGCACCAGTTACTCCAGTCTCAGAATGTTGATCTTCAGGGTATGCTTTTGATATGTAAGATGAGATTCAGAGGTATCCTGTTAGTCTTGCTTGCCTACCTTTAGATGAAGAGTTGGAGACAGATAACCCCTGGTTTATAAATCCATGCCAAGGCTGGTTGTATAAAATTTTTGTCAATAAGGAAGGAACATGTCATTCTAATCTCTTGGTATAAAAATATGGCCAATTTGTTGAATACGGACAGAGTTGGGCTATTTGGAGTTCTATGTAGCAGCTTGAAAAGACTGAAGTTGACCTGCGCTTGCTAAATCATTTGTCCTATATTTCTCAGGTCACGAGAAAATATTATGGCTCAAGAAACTAACCATAGCCAAGTGCCTATGCTATGTTCTACTGGATGTGGATTTTATGGAAACCCTCGTACAAATGGCATGTGTTCAGTATGCTACAAAGAACACCTTCAACGGCAGAATGGTAGTAATGGTAGAATTAGCCCATCAGGTAAGTGTGACACAACCCACGGATCTGAATTAATGTGTCATTTCCTTCCTAGAGACAGAATCTGTGGGCAAAGTGGAATAATACAGACCAGACTAATCAACCAACGTTTGTTGGACAAAGTGAGATGGTGTCCTTAGAGGCTAGAAGGGGGACATGTTAGGGATAAAGGGTCTCCAATTTAAGCTCAGCTTTCCCTTGATGGAAAAGTTCGACCAAATTGATTAGGGGAGTAGAATAATTGGCTTATATGCCTTTTGGGTTGTCTTCAGTTTCCATGAAAACTCAGTACTGGCCATTGTGGAATTCTGGAAGTGAGGTCTTTCCATCAAGACATGGAATTCAGCTGTGGAATTCTAGAGGACATTGTCTTTGCATTGGGACATTGCTGTCTATATCAAAGGGAGGGTAAGCAATGAGACAGAATGATATCACGGACTTACTGTAGAGAAATGTATGGATGACAATGGATAAAAAATAATTAATTGTTTCCCCTTCTGTTGTGACATTAGAGCCCTATTGGAATTAAGTTTGGCGAGATTCAATTCTGTTAAAGAGATGCCATGTTTTTTTTTAAATCCTCATACATCTATGAAAACCACTGTCTTTTAGTGGTCAGTGTGTTGGCATTGGAGCAGAAGATCCAGATTCAAATCCATCCTCGGCCATGGAATATTTTGCTCGATGACCTTTTCATGGAAACTGAAGACACCCACCCTCATAGGGAGACATATAGGTGGAAACCAATGACTCTGCAGGTGTGCTGTGGGAAACGAGAGAAAGGGAAGGTTGCGTGCCACCTTGAATTCTTGAAGAACTTGTTAAATCTAATAAATGAAATCATTGATTTCTGGAACTGTTTGGATGGCCACTAGCCTGGATGGCTTTGAAAGGGAGTAGAGATATTAATGGAAGAAAGTGATATGAATGACTTCTGTTGGCCAGTGTATATCCTCCTATGGACAACATCCCTGGAAAATAGTTGCAGGGAAGCAATTTGGAGTCATCACATTCTTCTATTCTCCCCAAATACATCTGGTGGGTTGCCCTATGCTACAAAATACTAGAGCTGATGGTCTTTTGGATTGATCCACTTGACCTCTTAGGTTCTTAGATGTCTCTTCTACTAGTCTGTTGTCATTACCATGTAAGCAAGGTTGAAGCATCTGATTCAGCTGCTGGTTAGTTAGCTTCTGTAAATGAAGGGAAGGCACCATCTCACCCATCGATAGCTGTCTAATTTCTTAGAGTTAGTTGGGGTTTGCACTTCACTGTAAGTAGAAAATGGAACTGATGGGCAGCCTGCTCCCTCCTTTTATCAGAAGCCATGGAAAGGAGGAAGGAAGAGAATCTGCCACCGTGATTAATTGTGTGGTCCTCCAGGATATGATTCAGCTTTAAATGTAGCCTTCTGTAGAAATCACATTACTAGGGCCTTTTCAGTATAATTGAAGCCGGCTTTCGGTGGCTTGTTTATGTTAACCCAACTCTGATCAATGTGCCTTTGTCAGCAGAAGCTTGCACAATGTAACTGGAAAAGGGAGGCATAAATAACTTGAGGAAAGGAAAAACCGGTGATCCTCAGTTGACAGCTGCAGTGGAGTCAACACAGAATTGCAGATGTTCTCATTAGAGGGGTAGTTGACTTGCCAAGTTCTGTGTTGTTGCTTAAGTTAAACAACAGCATAGGAGTCTAGCGTGGCAGAGCAACTAATGTATTTCAGCTATTTGTTTTTCGTCAAGACAAATTGGGGGGGGGGGGGCTATGGCTGAATGACGGTGGCTCATCTTCCTATCCTAAAGGGGTGAACAACCTCCTTTCCTCCTCAAAACCAAAAAACCCAAAACAAAACCAAAATCTTGCACCTTCTAGCTACCTCTGCCTCCAGCCTAGGTTGGCCTGCTGCTAATCAGAATAGATTTGTCTTGCCAAAAATATTGGCATCTTAATTTGATTAATTCAGAATGGGTAACACTGGCCTATTTGCTACAGTTTGAAACCTTTGCAAGCCATTCCACTAACCCCAAGGAGAGAGATAACTGTTCTGACCTGGGCTTCCCAAGATCATGAAGCAGACTCCTCATCCCGATAAAACCCCTTTTATTTAGGTTAAAGTGAATTCCTCTCCAGCAAAGTCCCGGCAAACAGCCTTTCATGAGATTTCACAATTACAGACCTTCATCAGGCTTGGAGAGTTGCCAGGCCAATATCTTCCAAATGCTACGTTGTAGCAGCAATTAGTTGGCAAGAAGTCAGGAACAGATCTTCACTCTAATGAATTGAACTAATTGTCTCCTGCAAACACCACTCCCCTTTTGCTTCTCTTTATTCCCTATGGGAGGGGCCATTCACCGTCCACCTGAGCCTTTGCTCCCGAGTTGACCCTTAACTGTCCCCTTCTCCTGGCAGCTCTGTACATATGCATACTGGGAACAGGCTCCAGCTGTTCTTCTGCCCCACTGATCCCAGACTCTGAAGACAGCTGATAACTGTCAGATGGCCCTGGCCCCATCTCTGCCTCCAAAGCAGAGCCCTCGTCAGAGCCTTCCCCAGACTCCAGGACTGGCCCAGGTTCCTCCACAACCTCTTCTCTGTCCGCTGGCACGTCACAACAGTAACATTGACAGTGAGCAGAATTCTGACACAATGAAAAGCTACCGGTATTTTGACATGATTTGAAATGCAGCTTAGGTTGGCCCACTGCTAATCAGAATAGATTTGTCTTGCCAAAAATATTGGCGTCTTAATTGGATGAATTTGGAACGGGTTACATTATCCAATCCTACTACATTTTGAAACCTTTGCAAGCCACTGCACCAACCCCAAGGAGAGAGGTAAGGTTGACAGTGAGCAGAATCCTGACATAATGAAAGGCTGTTTTGACACATGTGTCTCTTCTTCTAGCAACTTCAGTTAATAGCCTAACTGAATCTTTACCAGTTCAATGCACTGACGGCAGCATTCAGGACGTTCCTTCAACTCTAGATTCTACGCCTATACCAGCTACACAGCAAAGGTAATATAACTGTGGTGCCGCTAGAAATGTGTTAAATGTTTTTTTGTTGGAGGCCTGATCTGCAAACCACATGGTCCAGGATGATCTTCTATTTATTAATTGGTCCCGATAGACTCTGGCTTCTCTATATAATTTTAGGATGTCTGCTGTCTAGAATCACGTGTTGAGATGGATGGCTATAGAAATCAGATAGCAATAGCACTTAGACTTATATACTGCTTCACAGTGCTTTACAGGCCTCTCTAAGCGGTTTACAAAGTCAGCCTCTTGCCCCCAACAATCTGGGTCCTCATTTTATCCACCTTGGAAGGATGGAAGGCTGAGTCCACCTTGAGCCTGGTGAGATTTGAACTGCCAAATTGGAGGCTGTCGGCAGGCAACAGAAGTAGCCTGCAGTACTTTTACGCTAACCACTGCACCACCGTGGCTCACCATATAAATATTATTAACATAGGAGGAGTATTAAATGAGGAGTGGGATAGTTCTTACTCTACCTGCCCATAATGTTTAATAAGGAGTAAGCAATTGGGCAGTATAATGCTTTGAACTTTAGTCGGGATGATTTGCTTTGCAAAGCCAGTTTAGGGTAGGAATTAAGATGCTGGATAGAAACTGGGAGGCCATGACTTCTAGGCCTCCCTTAGGCATGAAAGCCAGCTGGGTAACTTTAGACAAGCCAACCTAACCCAACTCACAGGGAGGTTATAGGGAAATGAAGAAGGAAGGACATGTGTTATGTACACCTCCTTGAGCGCTACGAAATAAAAGGCGGGATATAAATCTAGTGATTAAAAATAATAATATGCACAGCCTCTCTCTCCGGGGAAGCAGCCAGAACTGTTCCCTCTTTAATAAATAAATGTAGCAAATTTACAAACCATCCAACTCTCAGCAACTCTGGACATCTTCACCCAAGTATTTTGCTGATCCTGGGAAGGATCAGGTGAAGCTTTGCACCTAAAAATCTTTGTGGTTGATAACTTAGCTTTATATCCTTTTAATAAGCACTGTAGCAATAGCAATAGCACTTAGTCTTATATACCACTTCATAGTTCTTTATAGCCCTCTCTAAGCGGTATACAAAGTCAGCATATTGACCCCAACAATCTGGGTCCTCATTTTACCGACCTCAGAAGGATGGAAGGCTGACTTGAGTCAGTCTCCAGGCTGTGGGCAGAGTTTGCCTGCAATACTGCGTTCTAACCACTGCGCCAAGTGGGACACATTTAATTTGTCTTGCATCGCTTAGTGTTTATGGCGTTCCTTCTGCCCCATTTTGATTATCCTGCCATTCTTCCATCTACCGATCCTGGCAGCGGTCCTCCTCCTGTCTTCACAATCATAACTACAACCTTGTGTGAAGGAAGGTAGGCTAAAACACTAGCTGGCTTGGTGAACTTCATGGTTGAGGAGGGGTTTGAATTGCAATCTCTGTGATGTACAACCTCAACACCCCCTACACACACTTTTAATAAACCGTTGAAATTATAGATCTTAGTAGATTTCTCTGGGTGTTTTCCTACGAAATGGGACAACGTGCCACAGCCAACTCACTCCAGAACAATTTGCCGTGGCCAACTTGCCATGGCCAAGTCATCATGGCCAATTCGCTGCAGGACAACTCACCATGTGACAATTTAATAATTCTATTTAATTATTTAAAATAAATAAAATAATATTTTAATTGTTGCCGTTCACATTTCGTTCTCTCCTTCCTTTTGCATCCTTCCTTTAATACTGGAAACTAATCAAGGAGAGAAGCAACTTAGAATTAAGGAGAAATTTCCTGACAGTCAGAACAATTAATCAATGGAACAACTTGCGTCCAGAAGTTGTGAATTCTCCAACACTGGAAATTTTTAAGAAGAGTTTGGACAACCATTTGTCTGAAGTGGTGTAGGGTTTCCTGCCTAAGCAGGGGATTGGACTAGAAGACCTCCAAGGTCCCTTCCAACTCTTATTCTATTCTATTCTAATAATTTTATTTCACTATTTCTTTGATATTAGTGTAATTGTTGTTCCGCATCAAGTTGTCCTGAAGCAAGTTGGCCATGGTGAATTGTCACAGACCTTTTTCCTACATAGCGGAAAATGGTCTCCGTTTCTAAAGCAACCTTTTCTTCCCTCCCAGCCCCGTATCCAGTCCTTCGTCCCTTTTAGCAGAATCTGTGGCAACATGTGAAGTGGAAAGTTCAGACATCATGGATAAACCTCAAGAAGAAGACATACAAGGTTAGCACGAAGGGGGCCTTGGAATGCCTTTGCCTTCTCTCTTCATCTTTTTTTTTTTGCCTCATTTCAATCGCACACTTTGTTCAAGGAAAAGTCTGTTCACTTGGTTTATGAACTGGGGAGCGGATCATTCTGCAATGCTGCTTGGTCAAAAGCTGTGTTCTGACCCAAACCTGTGACACTGGTTATCTATGGAGGAGTTATAGAAACAAAAAGTAAATTGCAGCATCTGAACCAGTTTGGTCTAGTGATTAAGGGACCAGTCTAGAAAATGTGGAAACTGTGAGTTCTAGTGTCGCTTTAGCCATGGAAGCCAGCTGGGTTGCTTTGGGCCAGTTATTCTCTCTCAGTCCAACCAATCTCACAGAGATTGTGTTACTGTGGGGAAAATAGGAGGAGGAAGGTGTGTTGGATATTGGAGGGAGGGAGGGAGGGAGGGAGGGAGGGAGGAAGGAAGGAAGGAAGGAAGGAAGGAAGGAAGGAAGGAAGGAAGGAATTTGGATGAACAAGCAAACATATGTTTAGATTTTGCCAAAGTTAATAGTAGGACAACTACTTCTGGTCAGGGGTTGATGTCTTAGAGTTGGTAGGGCCCCAGTTTTCAGTCTTCTGATGGCTTAGAAGTATGATGACCATATATCCTTCATTGCCATATATCCATCATTGAGGCATTTATTCCCGAAAGCTGTTCTTTAGATTTATTTACTTTTCAAAAACTCACTTTGATCCCTTATTTTCGTCCTTTATGCGCAATGTCTCTGCAGAAATTTGCTGCTTATAACTTTATAGCTTTTTTTATGCTTTTCAAATATTTTTATTGGAACGTGGGTTTCTCTAATGTTTTTTCTTGGTTTCGTTCTTGAATTTTCCTTTGTAAAAGCCAAGTTATAAATATAAACTACAGATAGATAAGGTAGGTAGGTAGGTAGGTAGGTAGATTAGATAGATAGATAGATAGATAGATAGATAGATAGATAGATAGATAGAT